TAATGAGATGAAAGATTTTGGAGAAACACTTTCTGAACAGGTAATCATAGAGAATATTATGAGGTCACTTAGTCCTCAGTTTGATTACATTGTTATTTCTATTGAACATTCTAAAAATCTGGAAACCATGAGAATAGAAGAGTTACAAAGTAGTCTAGAAGCGCAGAAGTTGCGTCTGACTGAAAGAACTTCTGAGAGGGAAGTGGAGCAAGCTCTGAAGGCTTCTTTTGTCAAGAAGGACCAGAAGCAGAATAAACGTGGTGATAAATTCCATAAGTCAGAAAACTCAACTTCTGATGAAAAGAAATACCAGAAGGGAAAGGAAAGGTATGCCAAGAAGAAGGTTCAATGTTACTGTTGTAAACAGTTTGGCCATTTTTCCAGAGATTGTAGAAACAGAGGAAGGAAATCAGAAGAAGCAAATATAACCAGAGGAGATTCTGATGATGAACTTGTGCTACTGATGGCTTATGATTCTGATGGAAAGTGTTTAGAAGATTGGTGGTATATGGACACTGACTGTTCAAACCACTTGATTGGGAATAAACAATGGCTGATAGACTTTGATTCCAGAAGGAGAACAAAGATCAGATGTGTTGATGATAAGTATATTAATGCAGAAGGTATAGGAAATGTCAGAGTCAGAGTGAAGAATGGAAAAAACATTTTGGTCAAAGATGTTTCGTATGTTCCTGGAATTAAAAGCAATCTGATGAGTATGGGTCAGCTCAATGAGAAAGGGTTCTCATTGGTTATGAAGGACAACCTCTTGACGTTATATGATTATAATCAGAATTTGATTATGAAGTCTGAGCAGGGAAGCAACAGAACATTCAAGGTGAATGTAGAAACAGCTGAAGAAGAGTGTCTTAGTGCAGAAGGCGCTGAAGGTGACAGTAAGCTGTGGCACAAGAGTTTTGGGCACTTGAACTATAAAAGCATAAGGCATCTAAGTTCTAAGAAGCTTGTACATAGAATTTCGAAGATTGTGAAGCCTCAGAAGTCATGTGAGATATACATGAAAGGCAAGCAACCCGGATTGCCATTTGCATCAGAAGTAGCCCCTAGAGCGAAGCATGCTTTGGGAGTAGTACATTATGATGTGTGTGGACCATTTCCAATATCTCCACTTGGAGGAAATAAATATTTTGTGTCTTTTGTGGATGAGTTCATAATAATGACATGGGTAACACTCATTAAGTTCAAACATGAAGTGTTTACCGAGTTCCAAAAGTTCAAGGTGAAGGCTGAGAAGCAGAGTGGTCAAAAGCTGAAGATTCTGAGAACGAATGGTGAATGTGAGTATAACTCTATAGAGTTCCAGAAGTTTTATGAGGATAATGGAATAGAACATGAGGTTATTGCTCCATATACTCCTCATCACAATGGTCTTGCTGAAAGACGAAACAGAACTTTGCTTGATATGACCAAAAGTATGCTGAAAGAGAAGAAGCTACCTCACATGTTATGGGGAGAACTTGTTGCCACATTAGCATATGTTCTGAATAGGTGTCCAACGAAGAAGGTGAAGGAACTTGTTCTTTAGAAAAGTGGACTGGAGACAAGCAAAGTGTTAGCCATCTGAGGGTGTTTGGTTCTGTATGCTACAAACACATTCCAGAAGCTAGAAGACGGAAACTGGATGATAGAAGCAAAGTAACATTACTGGTGGGGTACCATAGTACAGGTGCCTATAAGCTTTATTGTCTAGAAACTAACAAAGTTGAAATCAGTAGAGACGTTATTGTGAAAGAGTCAGAAACATGGGATTGGAACAAGCTTCAATCAGATTCTGGTGTATCGTCAACACCAGAGTTAGTTTCTGAAGATTCTTCAGAAAGTTCTAAAGACGAGTCAGAGTCAGAAGATGAATCTGAAGACTCTGAAGAAGAGTCAGAATCTCAGGGAGATTCTGATAGTGGATCTGATTATGTTCCAGATTTTGATGATGATCTAGAATCTGGTGTTGATTATATTTCTGGAAGGGAAAACTCTGAAGACATAGGGTCTGGAGGACAAGCTTCCAAAAGTAACTCTGAAGGTGGTAATTCTGAAGGAAGTAGTTCTGAACAAGGTACATAAGCTAGCATTTTTTCGAGCTTTGGTGAAGCTTCAGAACAAGTTCAGAGGCCACAGAGAATCAGACAAATACCAAGTAGGTTTGTAAATTTTAGCATGTTGCATGATACTGAAGTAGATTCTGAAGGAGAAGTTGTTCAGTGTGCCATGTTAGTAGATTTTGAACCAGTGGATATTGAAGAAGCTATCAAGAATAAAGTACGGTTGAATGCCATGAAGGAAGAACTGGAGGCTATTGAAAGAAACAAAACTTGGAAGTTGACAAAGCTTCCAGAAAAGAAGAAAGCCATCAGCGTCAGATGGGTTTTCAAGGTGAAGCTTAAGCCAGATGGATCAATTGGCAAACACAAAGCGAGACTAGTGGCTAGAGGTTTTCTTCTGAAACTTGAGCTACATTACTTTGAGGTGTTTGCGCATGTAGCTAGACATGAAACAATCAGACTGGTGATTGCTTTAGCTGCAAACGGAAATTGGCCTTTGATACATCTGGATGTGAAGTCTGCATTTATGAATGGTCCGTTAAAGAAGAGGTATATGTGTCACAACCTCTTGGATTTGTGAAAAAGAATCAAGAAGGGATGGTATACAAGTTACATAAAGCCTTGTATGGACTAAAACAAGCGCCCAGAGCTTGGAATCTGGAAATTGATTCGTTTTTCAAAAGGCGGAAGTTTCACAAATGTGAGATGGAATATGGCGTGTATGTACAGTATTATGGTGGCAATATGATTCTGGTGTGTCTATATGTTGACGACATATTGCTAACAGGAAGTTGTCCAGAAGATATAATCAAGTTCAAAGAAGTTCTGATGAATGAATTTGATATGACAGATCTGGGAAATATGGTATATTTTCTAGAAATGGAGATTTTGTACTCAAACAAGGGTATCATTCTACATCAGATGAAGTATGAACTTGAACTTCTGAAGAGATTTAAGTTGCAGAATTGCAAAGTTTCTATGACACCATCAGAAACCAATCATAAATTGGATTCTGATTCTGATGGTGATTATGTGGATGCTACGACCTTCAAGCAATTGGTTGGTTCTCTCAGGTACTTGTGCAATACCAGACCTGACATTTGTTATGCAGTTGGGATGGTTAGTAGATTCATGAGTAAACCAAAGTGGTCTCATTACGAAGCTGCTATCAGGATTCTGAGGTATATCAATAGAACTCTGAAATATGGAGTGCTATTTCCTTCTGGAAGAAAGACAGAATCAGAATTAGTGAGTTATTCTGATTCTGACTGGTGTGGAGACAAAGTTGACAGAAGAAGTACTTCTGGTTACTTGTTCAAGTTTCTGGGAGGTCCAATTTCTTGGAGTTCCAAGAAAAAGTCTGTTGTGGCTCTGTCAACGTGTGAAGCTGAATACATTGCAGGTGTTGTAGCTGCATGTCAAGCTGTTTGGCTTCTGAATCTTCTGGAGGATTTGAAGATTGAGATAGAGAAACCTCTACAGCTGTTGATTGATAACAAGTTTGCAATCAATCTTGCCAAGAATCCAGTGCTGTATGGAAGAAGCAAACATATTGAGACGAAGTATCATTTTTTGAGAAGTCAAGTGCAGAAAGGAGTATTAGAAGTTCTGCACTGTAGCACTCAGAAGCAGTTGGCAGATGTTCTGACGAAGACAATAAAAATAGACCAATTTTTTCATTTGAGAAATGAAATTGGTGTTGTTAGTTTCTGATAGTTACTAAATTACGGGATGATATTAGAGGGTAATTTAGTATTTGCTATTTTTCGATATTCTCTTTTAGGGCCTATGTGACATTCTTATCTTTATTATTTTTGTGTATAAATAGGTGTACTAGGTTTCATTAAATACAACAATTCTTTTTGTCAATTATTAGTAGCAGCTTTTAGCATTTATCATTTTCTCTCTTCTTCCTCAATTTCACCACCTTGCACCAACAATAAAAATCCTCCGCGCATATCTTACTCTTGATCGGTACATAATAGAACGATTTTGGAGAAATAATAAACAAGACTTTAATAAAATTACCTATAAATTTAAGAAGAATTTTATATTAAAAAAATTAGAAAATTAAGTTGTTTATTCTGTCCACTTTAAAGATGATTCTCATCAACATTGATAATTTTTTATTATTTTTTATTTTTTTAGAGGTTGGTTTATGTCCTCCAAATTTTCTCGTAAACTTTAATATTATTATTTTTATTTAAAAAATAAATAAATTAGATACTCAATTGTATGTAACTACTTCAAATTTAATAGTATTTTGTATTTAATTTAAGAGATTAAAGATAATCTAATCAATATAAATTAATTTTATACTATTAATATTTTAAAATTATAAATATAATTTAACAGAATACATATTTATGGCTGATCACATATTGACAGTATAAAAATATTATTCATGATTGATTATAGATTGAAAAATCATACTTATCAGCATAAAAACCAAACTCTATTCACTCCTTATATTTTGTAAAGTTCATTATATAACTATTTTTTTCTTTTTACCAAAAAAATGTTTTTTCTTTTTCTCTTCTTTGTAACTGCTCTTATCACCAAAACCAATCTATTTTTATAAACATAATTTGACATATCTCCACCTCAGTAACTGAGGTACATAATAAAAGAAAAATATTTGGACATTTTTCCCACTTCAATGATTTCTTAAATACTCAGAAAAGTTAAGTTAAATTCCTATAGAATGTTAACAGGATCTAGATCACTATTTGTATTTTCTGATGTTTAATATCTTTTATCATAACCATGCATACATTATTCATAGTGACGAAATCACTTACGTAGCTAGTAGATATACAAAATCAAGAAAAATTACATATATTACTATATGATAATATAATATAATTCATGAAGATTATAATTATAATAACATGTTGACTGAGAACGTAGAAATATACTATTACTATTATTATTATTATTTCAATTAAAGATTGATTCAGCAAAAGAATCAAACTCGAAATTGCAAATACCATCCACATTCAAGAGCTGGAAATATTCATCATAGAGTCTCTCTAGTGTTCCACGATTGTTACCCGTGTCGAAAAATGATTCGCACTCAATATCGTTGACTAAGTCATGGTCATCACTACAGAACCCAAATCTGTCATTTTCACCAATCTCACCAACCTCACAAACAACGTTGTTGTTTGTCACTTGCTCATTTCCTTGTTTTTGTTGGCTTTCAGATGAAGAATTTGACTCAAACGTAAATGAACCACTATCTGTTCTTGGTAAAGTTAAAGCCTTAATCCTAATAGCTTTTGGTAAATAAACTTGAATTTTGTCTTCCTCTTCATCATCATTAATTTTACTTTTACCTTTTTTCTTGTCGTTTTTCTTTTGTTTGTTATTATTATTCTTCTTCTTTTTGTTGCCACCAACGTTGTTGTTTTTCTTGGTTTTTCTTTGTTGGTCTTCATTATCATGTTCGGATGTTTGTTCATTTCTTTGCAACTTTTTCAGGAGATGTGTGTTCCAATAGTTTTTTATTTCGTTGTCTGTTCTTCCCGGTAATCTTCCAGCTATAAGTGACCATTTATTTCCGAGAAGTGAATGTAATCTTATTATAAGATCATCTTCTTCTTGTGTTATGTTTCCTCTTTTTATATCTGGTCGAAGATAATTCATCCATCTAAGTCTACAACTTTTTCCACATCTAAGAAGTCCTGCATCAATTATTTTTAATTAAATTTTATACAGAAATAAAAGACAAACGAACAATAATACTAATATAATTAGCATCAAAATTTCTAACGTATATAATATTCATAAAACATACTATAACTCGAAAACTAAAAGAAAGATGAAAAGCATGATGATAGAGAAATATTTTTCTTACCAGCTTTTTTGGGAAGTGATTTCCATTGACCTTCTCCATGAGCTTGAACATATTTTGTGAGCAATGCATCTTCTTTAGTAGTCCATGGACCTTTGTGCAATCCAACTTTGGCACAGCATGGAGCTCTTCCCATTTTTCTTTTAGGTTTTGTTTTGTTTTTGCAGACTCTCACATTTAAAAGTGGAAAAGCAATTAAGGTAGAGAGTTCCTCTTTAACTAAGAAGAAGAGCACGTAAAGATCACTAAACTTTGTTCTATTTATATAGGAAGTCGAGTAGACACTTCTATTTTATTATTATTATTATTACTTTTATTATTATTAATATTAGTAGCAGTAGTTTTTCTTTTTATAATAAATTTCCATGTATAGACAAAGGCAAAGACAATTTGTATGCGAGCATGGCCGCTATATTTTATTTATTTTTCTTTTTTGGGAAAGTTATTTTCACAGCAATATATATATTTTAATTTTTTTCCGCTCCATATCACAATAATAAATATGGTTTTAATAATATGATTTCAAATATAAATTGCTGGTTTAGTATTTATTTAGAATTATGTATAAATATAAGAAAGTTATTAATATTTATAAACTAATAATTAAAAAAATGGTTTTAAATATTTAAATAGCATAACTATTTTCCCAATAATATGATATTAAAATATAAAGATATATTTTCCTTAAATTAATTCAGACTGCTGTCGATAAAAAATTGTAAATAATGGATAATACTGAACCAACTCTTTGTCGTGATGTTCTATTGTTTTTGTGATACCACGTGTATCAGACTAGTATAGTCATATTGTTTAAAGAAAAACTATTATAGGCATAGACAACTGATTTAGAAGCAAATTATGGATCAATTAGCATACTAATGGAAGACAAGTATTTTATTAAATCATCCTATATAAAATAAAAACTAATTTCATGAAATATATATTTGAAATATTAAAGTAATACTCTTAAAGCATTTGATACATATTGGAGGATAATGTTATACACATGACGAGGATTACTATTATTAGTAAAACGTCACGAGGTTCTGATCTTGCTATAAGTCTTTCGGTCTTCCCTCGTGCGTTCGTGAGATCCAAAGTTCGATAATTATTTTGAAAAAGAAGCTAAAAAAAAAAATCAGAAAAGATATATGTTGCTGTGGAAAATTCAACTGTTGAATATTATTTGAGATACATTTTATTTTGAAAAATCAATGGTTCAATACGTCCTTTAGTTTTATTTATAAAAAAAAAATATTTTTTTAGATTTATTGAAAAATTAATAAATTTATTTAGATGGTCTTAAGAGTGCGACTCCAGATTTTTGTTGGTGCAAACTGATGAAATTGAGGAAGAAGAGAATAAAGATGACGGTTGTCAATGATTGAAAAAGAAATTGATTTGTATTTAATGAGACTTAGGTACACCTATTTATACACAAAGATAACAAAAGATAAGAATGTCACTTAGGCCTTACAAATGGATAAAACTACCAAATATAGTAAATACTAAATTACCCTTTTAATACCATCCCTTAATTTAGTATCTATCAGAAACTAACAACACAAATTTCATTCCTCAAATGAAGAAATTGGTCTGTTTTGATTGCCTTCGTCAGAACATCTGCCAACTGCTTCTGGATGCTACAGTGCAGAACTTCTAACACTCCTTTATGCACTTGACTTCTCAGAAAGTGATACTTCGTCTCAATATGCTTGCTTCTTCCATGCAACACTGGATTCTTGAAAAGATTGATTGCATACTTGTTATCAATCAACAACTTCAGAGGTTTCTCTATCTCAATCTTCAAATCTTCCAGAAGATTCAGAAGCCAAACAACTTGACATGCAGCTACAACACCTGTAATGTATTCAGTTTTACACATTGACAGAGCCACAACAGGCTGTTTCTTGGAACTCCAAGAAATTAGACCTCCCAGAAACTTGAACAAGTAATCAGAAGTACTTCTTCTGTCAACTCTATCTCCACACCAGTCAGAATCAGAATAATTCACTAATTATGGTTCTGTCTTTCTTCCAGACGGAAATATCACTCCATATTTCAGAGTTTCCTTGATATACCTCAGAATCCTGACAACAGCTTGATAATGAGACCACTTTGGTTTACTCATGAATCTGCTAACCATTCCAACTACATAACAAATGTCAGGTCTGGTATTGCACAAATACCTAAGAGAATCAACCAACTGTTTGAAGGTCGTAGCATCCACAAAATCACCATCAGAATCAGAATCCAATTTAAAATTGGTTTCTGATGGTGTCACAACAACTTTATAATTCTACAGCTTAAATCTCTTCAGAAGTTCAAATTCACACTTCAACTGATGTAGAATAATACCCTTCTTTGAGTACAGAATCTCCATTCCTAGAAAATATACCATATTTCCCAGATCTGTCATCTCAAATTCATTCATCAGAACTTCTTTGGACTTGATTATATTTTCTGGACAACTTCGTGTTAACAATATGTCATCAACATATAGATACACCATAGTCATATTACCACCAGAATGTTGTACATACACGCCATATTCCATCTCACATTTCTGAAACTTCTACCTCTTGAAAAACAAATCAATTTTCAGATTCCAAACTCTGGGCGCTTGTTTCAATCCATACAAGGCTTTATGTAACTTGTATACCATACCTTTCTGATTCTTTCTCACAAATCCAGGAGGTTGTGACACATATACCTCTTCTTGTAATGGACCATTCAGAAATGCAGACTTCACATCCATATGTATCAAAGGAAAATTTATGTTTGCAGCTAAAGCAATCACCATTCTGATTGTTTCATGTATAGCTACAGGCGCAAACACCTCAAAGTAATCTAGCCCAGGTTTATGAAGAAAACCTCTAGCCACTAGTCTTGCTTTGTGTTTGCCAATTGATCCATCTGGCTTAAGCTTCACCTTGAAAACCCATCTGACGCTGATGGCTTTCTTATTTTCTGGAAGCTTTGTCGACTTCCAAGTTTTATTTCTTTCAATAGCCTTAAGTTCTTCCTTCATGGCATTCAACCATACTTTCTTCTTGAGAGCTTCTTCAATACCCACTGGTTCAGAATATACTAACATGACACATTGAACGACTTCTCCTTCAGAAAATTAATTAGTTAATCTTAGGGTATGTTAATTAATTAATCTTCATTTTATTTTCATTAATTTAAAACCTTTTCATAAAAAACCCTAAAAAATCATTTTCAAATTAATTTCTTTTCTTAATTAGTTTAAGTTAATTTTATTTAATTTTAATTAAATCATTTTCTTTAATTAGGTTAAGACAAAATCATTTCATAAAAACAACAAAAATCATTTCTTTTTCCATTTATATTCTTGTATTTTATTTTCAATTTTGTACAATATTCAATATGGTTGTAATAGATAATTAGGTTTAATTTTTCTTGCAATCCCCATTTGTAAATTTGTACACCCCCTCCCCTAATGATGTAATAGCATAGTAATTTTACTTTTCGCAATTTATCGCTTTATATAAATGCTAGTAATTAGGGTTTGTATGAGAAGATAAAATCAACAAGTAGCAAACCCTAATCAAAGACTAAACAAAGCATGAAAATCAATACACTTGCACACAAGCATCCCTAGGTTAAAATCCACTTGGTTTCCTTATAAAAATGGCCATATTATGCTTGTGATGTGTCTTAGCAAAAACAAGCAAAAAATACAAGATCATAGTCCCTCGATGACGCTATCTATGTTGCCTTTTCAAAATGATCTTAGTCCCTAAAGAAAGATGCTAAGATACCTTACAACATTGCTAATCATGGTTATACGATGACCCACGTCCGTCCCGTTTACATCCAAACATAGGGTTTCTTACCAAATCAATGGTAAGATAACAATGTCAAAGGAAAGAGGAAATAAACATGAAAGACTTTTGAGTAGGTAGAATGTTCCTAGTTGCTTGCTCATTTTCAAACCAAAACATCCTTGCTATTTTTAAAACAAACACCTACACTTTCAAAACACTCTTTCAAACTTGAAAACATTTTCAAAAGATCAACACTTTGTATACATTCTTACAAACGAGAATCATTACAAAGTTTGTCTAAACGATGGCCCCTTTTCAAAATACTTTCCAAAACAACACAAAGCATATTTTCAAACAAAATCAAGTGATCTAGAAAGTAACTAAGAGCCCATGGAAAACCATGGATGAAAAGGGTGCTAATACCTTTCCTTTTCATAATCTACCCCCCGAACTCAAGAAACAATCTCAGAGGTCTTTCCTGTGCTTTTTCACCTTTCCTTTTGGATAAAAGAAAAGTCGGTGGCGACTCTTGCTAACCGCAACATTTGTGATAAAATGCAAAACAACCAAGTCAGTTCTCTTACCGTATCACAGGTCCCTTCGTAGGTAATTGTGCCATGAACCATTTGTAAAGCATTGGTATGCAACATACCACTACTCCCTTCTTCCCATACCTAGAGTGAATGGCATGGTAAGTGTCATCTAATAAGGTAGGTATCAGATTTATATTCGTGAAGGAGCAGAAAGCAGTCATGTCCACTATCTCCTTAATCTCAAGGAAGAGGATAACCCCATAAATGGTAGGAGCCAAGAATGCATAATAAGCATCCCAATTATGCTTGCTATCCATTTCTTTAACCTTTCCTGCCATGAAATATGCTGGAAGACCACAAATGACTTTATTGCGTCTGTATTTTCCTTTTAAATCACTAAGGCTCAAATAAAGAACCTTGTCAATAGCCTCATGGACAGGATCAACAGGGACCTGGATGAATGGAATGTGATTATAACGCTGATATGGAGAAGATGAGAATACTCCTCAAGAGTGGGCTCCAAGTGATAATCCTGAAATGTGAAACAATGGAACTCTGGATCATAAAACTGTAGCAAAGTCTGAACAACCTTATCATCAACCCTGGCATCCAACAAAGATAGGAGATTCCCATATATTTCACTAAAAACACCCATTTGTTGACAATTCATGAGATCTCTGAGCTCTTCAATAAAGGGCCAAACACTTGGAAGAAATGGGTAGCTGAAGTTATCCCTTTTGGTCTTCATGACGATATCAGTGTTGTTTGCCATTCTTAGAGGAAAAGAAAACTCTAGAAAATCCTAGAACTGA